TTTTTAGTCATTTTTCATTTAATTTGTCATGTAACATCTATTTTGTAAACAAAATGTAAAACACTTCTATATGGCTAACCAATACCAAAATTTATAGCAAATCAAACAATTTCATATTATATATATATATATATATATATATATTTATTTATATTTATATTTATATGAGAGACAAATTCTATAGGTGTGCTCATAGAACAATATCCCAAAGGCTCTAAGTTTTATAACATGTTAAAATATTATAGATTAAAATAAATTTTTGGATCCATAACTTCTAATTACCTAATTGATGAAAAAAAATCTTATTGTAATCACAAACTCGAAGAAAAGGGGTTGGACTTATAATTTGTCCTGATGTTTATTGATTCCTCGACAAGTCCTTTGCAAACTCGAGTTTTAACTGTAAAAAACTATGGATACACACTCTTTAATATTAATAAAATTATTAATCCGAATAATACTAAATTTGATTTCTTTAATAATATAATTATAAAACAAAACACATTATTTAATACGGTAAAGAGTAAAAAGAAATATTTTATATAAATAGTAAAATATACTATAAAGAAAGACCACTATTTTTTTTTAATTATAATTTTATCACATTTTTACATTAAAAATTAATTATTTTAACTCAAAACCCTAATCATAAATTAATGTAAAGTAAGAAGGAAAAAATAAAAAAGAAATTGTAGTTGCGAAAGAATGATGCAACTTCTCATGACGAAAAAAAGTGAATATTGTAGTAAATAATATGATGCAGTAATTATTTTGATAATTAATTTTAAGATAAATTATGTTATTCTCTCATAAAAAACGAGTATTACAATGTCCTTTCTTTTTAAAATATTTAAGTTAATGTAAATTAGATTCTTATAAAATATAAATATTATTATTCATCCTCTAAATGTTAAAATATTAAATATATTATATTTTTAACCCTTAAGAATATAAATACTATATTATCGTTATTTTATTATATTAATTTAACATCCTTAAACATTACTCATTATAAGATTTTAAATAAATATTTTAATTTAATTATTTATCAAAATATATTTTTAATTTCATTAGAAAAATATATTTTAATTAAAATATATTTTTGAAATATTTTAAATTCATATAAATATGTTTAGGGTTTAAATTAGCTATTAGAATAATAAATACAATAAAACTATAAAATAAATTATATATGTACACGAGTTATTTACTCAAATAATACTATTTAAAAAAAATTATTCAAATAGCAACTGTGCAAATTTATTTTCCCAACTAGCATCATTCATTGTTCATGTTCAGAATGAACCGTTCTGATTTTAGAACGGGTCGTTTCGGATTAAAAAATAACACATGACAAATGAATCAGAACGGGCCGTTCCGGATTCAAAATTAGCACATAAAATGTGGAACTAGAACGGGCCGTTCCGGCCTAAAAATAAAAAAAATTGTTTGATTTTTATTTATCAAATCCAAAACTCAGAAACTAACATCAAATAATTAAATTTATTGAATATTAACATTATAAATATAACTAAATAAATTTATTAAAATTCAATACAACAATAAAGATCAATGGTGGCGGAAAACTAATTATATTATTCTCTAATGCTCATCTCAATTTTAATCCTGCTGGACTTTGGCCGACCCGCTGGGAAACTTGCCGCAATCACACTACATTACATTTAGTCTTACTGTAAATCTCCCAGCAGGTCATGCGAGCAAAGAATATGAACTTTTTGGAACTTGTCGCAATCACACCACATTACATTTAGTAAATCTCTTAGCGAGTCATGCGAGCAAGGGATATGAACTTTCTGGAACTTGTCGCAATCATACCACATTTCATTTAACCTTATTGTAAATGTCCCAACGGGTCATGCGAGCAACATAATCAGTTTCTGCCAACATAATCAGTTTCTTAGCGGGTCGGCCAAAGTCCAGCAGGATTAGAGAACAACATAATCAGTTTTCCGCCACAATTGATCTTTATTATTGTATTAAATTTTAATAAATTTATTTAGTTATATTTATAATGTTAATATTCAATAAATTTAATTATTTGATGTTAGTTTCTGAGTTTTAGTATTTGATAAGTGAAAATCGAACAATTTTTTTATTTATTTATAGGCCAGAACGACCCATTTTGGATTCAGAACGACTCGTTCTGGTTTCACATTTTATATGATGATTTTGAATCCGAAACGGCCCGTTCTGAAATCAGAACGGCCCATTCTGAACGTGAACAGTGAATGGTGCTAGTTGGGGAAATAAATTTGCACAGTTGCTACTTGGGTAATTTTTTTTAAAATACTATTATTTGAGTAAAAAATTACATGTATACACCAAAATACATAATATAAATTAATATATATATATATATATATATATATATATA